ACGCTAGGAGCTTGTGACAAAGAATTGATTATAGTCACCAAATCAATCACTAATGAAAACAACCGTTTGATATCCTGACAACGCTTTGTACGGTTCTACGTCCCACACTTTGTCATTGTGCTACATTACATGTAGCAGTGATCATCTGTGCGAGGTCGGACTGTGTCTGTCTGGGTCTGCAGAAACATACCAGTGTTTGTGGGCAATCCAGAATGTATGGCCACGTCTGCACATGTGAACACATGTATCGACAGTATAGTGTAAACAGAAGCACGTGCCTGTCGACTGTGTGCTTTGACTGCAACAAGGCCTTTAGTGGGTCATTTCATGCCCCGTATGAAGCCTTTTAACAATGTGTATAAAACTAAAAAGTCTGGATGGGTCCAGTGACTTTACAGATAAATTCACTGATTGAGGATTTTCAAATAATTCTGAAGTAACTTTCAATGTGGCTGATGAGGCTGAGATTTGTTTGTCAGTCGGCTGGCTCAGGTGATGGAGGAATATTCATAACACACTCACCACACCCACACCCAAGTGAAAAGACTGCCGTCGCCGGTCGATTTCTTCACGTTAGGACCAAAAAGATCTTGACTTATGGGAAGGGAAGTGTTTGAGATCATCCTGAGGAGAACTCTGAATGTTGTAGTAGCGGCAGTAGTACTACTACTTATTAACATAAATTAATAGTGTAACCAGACTGCACAGAGTATTCTCAGTAGAGCTGTGTGTTGCTGGCGGCTGTTCCTGCCCTGGTGAGGCAGTAATTTATTCATTGAACAGGTGAAGGCAGTGAGGAGAAGGCTGGCTTCTTCTTGCCTAATGAAAACTCAAATCCCTCTGACTCATATAAATTGGTTAGGAGGTGTCAAGTGTCTCCCAACACGTCCCCACCCCGGCCTCTCATCAAACCCACCCATCACACACACACACACACACACACACACACACACACAGACAGATGTTTGACTCGTAAGGTCATCACTGCAGGCAGCAGGGATGTGACACTGTGATCCTCATACTCCTGTCCTTGAAGGACATGCACGCTGTGCACAAACACACCCTTCACTTCACTCACACACACTCATGTCGGGCTCCTGCGAGGACACGGGGCCCCGCCCCCATCTGTCTGGGAGCCGGTGGCTGTGACATTTAAAATTGATTACGAAGAGGAAGATTGATTATGATAATGTCCACTTCTTTTCAGTCATTACAGAGTTATGGCTGCTCACTGGGCTCATAAATCACTGCTGTGTCACACCTCTCAGCCTGATGAGGAGGCTGCTGGTGTCGGTCGTGCTCAGCCTGTCACTGAGATCGTCCTCATGCTCAGGATGTGGTTTTTTTTTTTTTGATTATGGGCAAATGGAGCAAAGAGTCTGGGGAGTGTCTAACATGGGAGTCTGTGGGGATTGACTCCCTTTTGGAGCCAGCTAGTGGCCGTTAGAGGAACTGCAGGTTTTGGCACTTCCACATTGGTTTCATCTCTAAGCCTAGTGGGTTGCCACTTGGTACCGCCCATACCGCCGTGCTGCAAAGCCATCACGAGACCTGTAGTTTTTTAGATGCTAAAAAATAAATTGTTGATTAACTTTGTTAAAAGTGCAAAGGTTTTAACTTTCAGGAGAAAGTGTTGCGGTGGCTGGTGGCTTGTCTTAGAATATGAAAACAAATCCAGAGGAACGTGCTTGGTGTTTTTTTTACAATGACAGATGAAGCCCTGACTCACTGAAGCTAGTGGAACAGAGGCTAATGGGATGTGATGACTTGACTTGGCTCTCTGTTGGGTAGAAAATGAATTTAGCTGTTTTGCACAACTCCATTGGATATACTATTATATACAGACCGTGACCCTAAGTAACTGAGGGGTCTCCTCCAGGATGTGTTCTCCTCCACAGGGGGTCACTGAATGGTCTGATGAGAATAAACATGAGGTCAGTCATATGCTGTGGCCTTCACAGGCACCAGATCTCAGCCCAGTTGAGCACCTATGGCAGATGCTGGAGTGACGTGTTAGACAGCTGTTCATCCCGGCGTTCCTAGCTTGTCTTATTTTGGTGATGTAACTGCTATGGCTTTTTCCGTGTCCAGACTGGCTCTCACTTGCTGATGGTGTAACATTCTCAGACTGGGGAGATGACTGTGAGAATGCTTCTGTGAAAGCATCTGACTCTGTCTGGAAGTGACATGACATGACGTAGACAGCTCCAGGCTCAGAAATCCGCCTGAAGAATGTACTGGTACATTTTCCCACATTTGATTTTGTTAAGTCACCATGTGTGCCTTGGCACTGGTGCAGCACCGTATTTCAAAGTAAAAGATGTTTATGTGCTGCTTTCTGGGGAAGAACATAACGGTGCCAGTAAATCGTAGTGCCAGTACAATCCCTGAAATGTTTTCTTCTTTTGGAAACAGTTTAACTCGAGGCTGTCATGTTGGCCTCAGAGCTGGGCGTTAATACCAGTACACAGCACAAAATGACAAATGCACCTCAGATAAAAGTCTTTGTACGTGTAAAACAACTTCGGCCTTGCGCTATCGGTCTTAACTCTTAACCTAAATGTTGTTTGATACTTGAAGTCCGCCTTAGAGCAGAGCTGTTTTCACTGACAGCTACTTCAATCAAGTCACAGTGGAGACACTGACTGGTTTGTTTGTCAGAAATTAATCACAGCTTCTGACTAAAAGTTAAGTCAGTCGGCAGCTGGGTGCAGCAGGACCAAGGGAAATTTATGGCCAACGTTTCAGAAAGGTGGTTAATTATTTAAGCCCTTTATCAAACTTTTGTCCCACTTTCACCTGTTTCAGTTTCTCAGTCGTGACCTGTTTATTTCTGTTTTATGATGTAAGTTGAATCTGTTTTTAGAGTCTAAAGTACTGGAACCGTTCATCTTCATTGTTCATTGTTTTGACATTTTGTCGTTTACAGTTGATTTCAAACAGTAAAGGACTGTGTAGATCACATTTGCTTTCCTCAGGACTAAAGCTTGGTTTATGGTTCTGCGTTTAATTTACGTAGAACCTACACCGTAGGCTACGTAAGCAACCTGTGAGCATTTATACTTGTGCATGATGCGTCTGTGTCGCCCTGCACTTACACCATTGGAACGCTAGGTGGCATTAGGGTGTCTGTGCCACTGTGTTGGGTTTCTTCACCACTTACTAACAATGGCGACTGAAACTGGACGGGTCATGTTGGAGTTAAAACTAACTGATGTTGCACAGCAACAGATGTTGGAGGAGATGGTCTGTACGACCGATGAACCAGCTGAGGCAGAACGAGGGGTTTTTCCTCTGCTTGTCCGGCCACTGACAGACATGAATGAGGAAATGGCAATTGCATTTCTAGTTACATTTCTGGAGAGGTGCACGTTGGGTTACGGCATAGGGTAGGCGGCTGCACATTACCCAAGTCGTACTTATGACGCTGAACCATAAATCAAGTTTAAATTGTGCTTTAAAAAGCATTTTTCCTCTGTGCAGTGCATTTTGAAAGTCGGGGTTCTCCACTGCTCAGCAAGATTTAAAGGAGAACATGCTCCTGACCTGCGTGCTGTGTATGCATCCCAAAGCACGTATTCAGTACTTGTCAAAACAGTGTGCTCATATTTGACCCAGGGTTATTTTCCTCTCCTGCATTTTTTCTCTCTGAGAGCCATAGAATTACCTGTAAAGCACCTTAAAGCACTTTGGCGCTCTCCCTTTTTTTTCATGTTCCGTCTTCTCTCTGTCCCTAATCTCCTCCAGTCACTGCCGCTTTGTTACCTCCCCTGTTATCCTGACTGCAGCTCTGAGTCAGAGTCAGGTCATGGGAACTCACAGCTGCTTGTCCGGCCCCGTGCGGCTGACAGACAGCGAGCTCCATCTCAGTTTGTTTGCTGATGCCTGTGAGAAAAGAAAAAAATGGTCCTGCACCTGAAACAATCCAATCCAGGCCTGCTGCACTTTGACACATAGTATCCACTGGATCATATCACTGAATAATGTCTAATAATCATTGAAATGTTGGTTTTGTTTAGCACAATGTCAAAGTATCAAACCAGCCAGATTAACTCTGGTAATAATTTGTTTCTTGAGAACTTGCAGTTTGGACACATTCTAAGCAACGCGTCACTCAGTCACAGTGGAAAAGGCTGCTGGGACGTTTCCACCATGTTCAGTACTTTCTCACAACTGTTGTCATCTGTTCAGTCTGCTGCAGTTTGACATTGGCTCATCTAGGAAACATGTAGCTAGAATTAGTGGGGACATGTTCAACTAGTGTTAGAGGTTAATCTTTCACTTTTTAAATAAAAGTTTATTCAATTTAGAGATTAGGTGAGAAAGTCCTTTTTCAAGCTGCAGTATGTTGCAAGAAACCTCCCACAGTATTGACCGTCCCACCAGATCCTGGTAGAGGAGGCAGGAAAAGTGAATTTTCTTATTGGAAATCAATAGATTACCTCACAAAGTGCCCTT